GCTTTCATATGCATATATTGAATTCATTATATCTATTATAGTTTTCGAGTAAATTAATGAAATGTGAAAACACTGCTTTTTCGAACGTTTTTTTAACTTTGAACGCGTATGACAGCAAAATGGATAATAGCATAGGATTGTATCTATACTTGCAGGATTCCCCAAACATTCAGCTTTCATATGAATATATTGAATTCATCCTATCTTTTATAGTTTTCGAGTAAATCAATGAAATATCGTTAGAGTTTCATAAATTGAGAAACAACGTTTGTTTTTCAGAAACAAATGAATTAACGCCAACTTAGCGAACTTTTGTTAGACCCCTCGTAACTTCTAACAAGTCACACTATAAATTACCAAGCGAATTGATTAATATAAAGCAAATATAAAGTTAAAAGATTTCGTCCACTGGACAAATGAATGATAAAAAAAACTCGATGGTGAATCCATCACTGTCTCTTTTTTCATAAAAAAAAAACAATGCAGAAGAAAACTGATATGTTCTTTTATAAGTAATTATATCTAAATGACAAGGATTTCTAGTCTATGTTGAAAGATTGATGCATACCCTTAATTTGTATTCGTGAAGCAAAATAACATAAAGTTGAAAACTAACTGGTGATTACATCTACTGGGCAAATAGAATGTACAGTCAATAAGAACCAAGTTCATCAATCACTGTCATTCTTCACCATTTAGGATGTAGTTCAATGTAAGTAATTTAATAATAGTTTATATAGGAAGTATTAATCATTTATTTGCATTCAAAATAGTAATGAGCTATAAAAAGTGAAAATGTGATCAAGTACGAAATTTTAGAATTAAACGAATTGCAGAATGAAACAGTTGAAATAAACTTAAACTGTTTCAATTTTCTTTTATAATTTGTAACAGAGTTTATATTCGTTGTTCAGTAAGTTTGTATATTCCAAACAAATTTAATGTTAATCTTAACTAATTAGTAATATATTAAATATACATTGCAATATTTAATTTTTTAAGGACATTAAATATGCCTTCATTGCAGTTCAACAACTGCAGTAGTTTATTTTTCCGAGAAGGTAGAGTATTTAATTGAAGCATTTTTAAATGAAAATAATCAATTAACAAAATTCTAATCATTTACTAACGTTAATAAATATAGATAATGAACTATATGAAAGTAGTTTATCTCCATGAATCTCACCCATCTCTGCTTGCGAGTTTAATTCTTCCAGCTATTTTTTTTTCCAACGTTTTATAACTACATGTTTTGTCTGCGCGATTACTAATTTACTACGTGAAGATTATCCTTTTTTGTAATGAATTCATAGCCTCGGGCTTTTCGCAGAGCAGTGAAAATAATCTGCAGCGCATCCAAGATTTGTACTAAAAAAACACGCATAGTTTCATAATACCCTGCGCATTCACCAAATAAACTATAATAATAAACTAAATTTATTGTATAATAACGTACAAAGTGCTGTCCATGAACGAGTTGTGTAATAATTATATTTTCATGAAGTATAAACCATACGCAATCTACATTTTGACAATTTCATTATTTATTCAACCAGTTGTGAATGAACACGAATGAAATGAATAAAATTTTGTTGTGCAGAGTTTAGCATAGTTTGAAAGGACTGTTGGAAAGTTTATGGAAATGTTTTAAATAACTGCAATGACGTTGGTAGCCAGAAAGTATTTACAGCAGTACCTTGAATTGCGCGGGTGTTCTGTTCCGCTGTGTGAGAAACCGGACTAATCGAGGACTTTAAATCTATGCGATTTTTTTAGAATTTAATTTGATCAATTCATATTTAGTTTGTTGTGAAATTTTCAAATCGTACTATAGTGAATTCGCACTATGCGAGGTATTGCTGTTCATATAAATCATCATGTTTGATATTTTTCACACAAATAAATAGATAAGTATTTTAGATTACAGCAATACTTCGCAAAGTCCACTAATATATCCACTGCTTGAAATCAGATTAATCGAATACATCTTAAAAAAGAAGTATAAAGAAAAACCATGTACAGAAAACAGCAGTCAGCTGAGTTTAGTATTGTGTAGTTAAATTTCTGAATTAATATTCTTTAGAACATTGTTAAATCTCTATTTTCAAGATCAAAAGGCGTAAAATGCAGTGAAACCTCGCTTAACGAACATATTTCGTTCCAGTCTTACTTACGTAATGCGAAACACTCGTGAAGCGAAAAAAAATCCTATATAAATTTATGTAATAAATTAATGATAATGCTTCCATGCCGGAAAAATTATATATACAATTATATATAAAAGTGTTCTTGCTACTTTTTCTTCGGTGACAATTTTTGCAAGGTGTTTTTTCGGTCATCTGTGTGATATAAACATAATATATGTGAACACATGTTTGGAAAATGAAATGTGAAAACACTGCTTTTTCGAACTTTCTAATTTAAATTTTTCAAATTTGAAGGCGTATTACAGCAATATGGATAAGAGCACAGGAATGTATCTATACTTGCTGGATTCCCTAAACATTCAGCTTTCATATGCATATATTGGATTCATTCTATCTATTATAGTTCTCGAGTAAATCAATGAACTGTGAAAACACTGCTTTTTCGAACGTTCTTATTTCAATTTATCAACTTTGAACGCGTATTACAGCAATATTGATAAGAGCACAGGAATGTGTTTATACTTGCTGGTTACCCCAAACATTCAGCTTTCATATGCATCTATTGGATTCATTCTATCTATTATAGTTCTCGAGTAAATCAATGAAATGTGAAAACATTCAATTTTTCAATTTTGAACGCGTATTACAGAAATATGGATAAGAGCACAGGAATGTATCTATACTTGCTGGATTCCCCAAACATTCAGCTTTCATATGCATATATTGGATTCATTCTATCTATTGTAGTTTTCGAGTAAATCAATGAAATGTGAGAACACTGCTTTTCGAACGTTCTAGTTTCAATTTTTCAACTTTGAACGCGTATTACAGCAATAAGGATAAGAGCACAGAAATGTATCTATACTTGCTGGATTCCCCAAACATTCAGCTTTCATATGCATATATTGGATTCATTCTATCTATTGTAGTTTTCGAGTAAATCAATGAAATGTGGAAACACTGCTTTTTCAAACGTTCTAATCTCAATTTTTCAACTTTGAACGCTTATTACAGCAATATGGATAAGAGCACAGAAATGTATCTATACTTGCTGGATTCCTCAAACATTCAGCTTTCATATGCATATATTGGATTCATTCTATCTATAGGTTTCTAGTAAATCAATGAAATGTGAAAACACTGCTTTTTCGAACGTTCTAATTTCACAGTTTGGAAATATTAGCTTTATCAATATTAGCTTGCCTATGTATATTAGGATACTAATAATAAAAGCATGTAGGCATCATTTGGTACTATCAAATGATATGCTCCAGTTATTAGGTCAATTAGATTTGTGTACGTTAGCGCTGCCGAAAGCTTATCCAATATCATGGAACTAGACTCAGCAAACTCAAGAATTAAACGAATTATTTACTGTAGAGTAAAACAATTATTTACAGTTTTAAAATATGATAATTACATTCATTTATAAGTAAACCTTTTGTTGAAATAATATCGAATCATCGAATAATATCAAATATGAGTAAAATGATTTGTATATTTGAAAAAAATATTATTCTGAACTTAAACTCGTAGGTAGTGTGACCTACATATTGTTGATTGGAGTGCTCTGTGCACAAAACAATTGTTATTAAATGTCACATTTGTAGTTATCAATTAACTAGGTAGTAGTAGTATATGGAAAATAAACTTAGATCTAACATATTTTAGTTTATATTAAATTTATAATAATTATTGAAGATGTTCTTGGGAATAGTATAGGACGTATAGTTGAAAGTAGCGCATGAATTATACGAATATTAATGGAAGCATGTTTCTTCTTACCTTACGAAGTAAATAATCCCTTAAATTTAGATTGGCAACGAAATAATTCGGTCTAATTGGAGCTGCGCTGAGGCTAAACGAACGTGTTTAAGATGAAATGATACGATGAGGAGTTATGATGAAGATACACTGCAACCTATTGCACACAACAGTTTGATGTGAACTAATCAGGAGGGTGGGTCATCCCAAGCGTGTTCAGCCGGGAAATGGATCTGATAGATGGCGCTCATCCCTTGTATGGATTAAGGCCGTAAACAGTTTTGATTGGTTTGTCCACTCCAAAAAAAACATATTTTGATTGGTCGAATATTAATTGAAAACAAGAGATTAATGATAATTGTTTTTATTGTTAAAATTAGTTAAATAAATATTTACAAAACAAAAGTTTATGGTCCCATTAATGATTGCTGCGTGAATGTTACACGTAGAATAGTCGGACTTTGGAGGTGGTTATGAGGTGATCGTCGTCGAAGAATTTGGTTTCGATGACTATGTTGCCGCTGGAAATAAAAGAAATTCACTTTAGTTAAATTGTTTTGTTTGTCTTTTTTTTGGCAGGTGTTACTTTAGTATGGATGCTGGCATCATTTCGGATTCTGGAGCTGCTTGCATCACGGATTGCCAAGTGTTATTGGATTCTGGCATAACGTACCCAAAATCGAAGTACCATTCCTCTAGACATCTACCTTTAAATGTTACTTTCTGTAAAAAAGGAAATTTTCAATTATATGGCTACTAATATAATAAATATGTAATTATTTTGTAATAAACATGTAACTATGGTTGCTTTTATAAATTATAAAGTGTATGTTTGTGTTACTAGTGTTATCTACTGTCTTCACTAGATATTAACATCCTGTTAAGTTGTCGATTAATCTACAGTTATGTGAAGTTGATATTTTACCTGTTCTAATCTAAATTTCTCTATTGCTTCCTTCGAGCTAAAGCTAAACTCCCTCGAAAGTGCCCTGCATTTCAGGATGTTCTTTGGAACCTTTGCTTCATGTTCAATATCGGGTAAACTAATATCCTTTGTTTCCTGCCAAAATATTTTACCACCATCCAAGTCTTTCAGACAAGTCCAGTTTCTGCAAATTACACAGATTACAACTTTTCTATTTTCTATACAAATGTTTAATAAAACTTTTATACTTACATTTGGAAACCTTTCAGGATTTCTTCAGACCTTTTTACGCCTTCTTCAGTCATCGTCTTGAATAACTCGTGCTTTAAAGGAATGTTGTTCTATTTACTAAACACTTTCAATTATTTGTTATAACCTCAATTTACGTATGTTTTGTGTTTATATTTACAGTCTACGCACATCCAGTTTTACCAATTGTAATGTAAATTTGAAATTATAGCCAACCGCAAGATAAACCCACATTTTATTTTAAAGATTATGACCTTGTTTCTTTCACCCTTCCAATGCTTATTGATCCCACCATGCAATGGTATAAACATTTGCTATAACTACCTTTTAGTAATTTTGATGTAAAGAAGTCTTTAAAATTGTTAAAAAAATAAAGCCCATTTTTTGCCACCCTTTGCGTAATTCGTTTGTTATTTTTATGCTGAGTTTTGGATTTTTTGAGATAAGTATAACATTGCGCGTACACATCACACGATACATTCAAATAATTTGTTATTTGGCTCAATAGCTTTTTGGCTATTCCTCAATACTAATATTATATAATATATATCAGTGCTCCGCAACCGGTGTGCCACGTCACACATGCAGTGAGCCTATACATGATTTTTCAACTTTCCAAAAAAAATCTGATAATACAATTTACACACTGTTGCATACATCGAGAAGCATTGATGGTCAATAATTTGCAAGAGGAACTTTTGAACACGACGAATGAATGCAGTTTTGTGATTTTCTCGACAAATCCTTAAGATAGTTACATCATCGACCAGTCGTATGAAAGCTGAATATTTTGTCTTTCCAACAAGCCTACATTCATTTAGAAATGTACCAAAGTACGATTGAAAACAAGCAATTAATTGTGGATCTGGTACAACAACATTTAAGTATGTTTCAACATAAATTTGATCACTATTTTTTCTCTGCAAATTCAAGAAGAATTTATAGAATTAAGTCATGACTTCACTTTGTCCAAGTTCCATTAGATGTGTTTTGGATTTCCGTTAAGAAAGAAAATCTTCGCATTCCCAATTACACCATCCTAGCACTACATCCATTTTCGGTCACATATTCATGTTACCAAAGTTTTTCGACTATTATTTTAATTAAAAATGAATATTGAGCCAAATATAAAACTTTTATTTTATGTTTTTATTGTATGTCTACTTATAAAATAAAAAATGAAAATTTATTGTGTAATTTGTGTATCAATTTAATATCTATTGAAATTAGAACGTTCGAAAAAGCAGTGTTTTCACATTTCATTGATTTACTCGAA